AATTCTCGTGAAGAAAGTGTTTGAATAGACACTTTTGACGAAATTTGACTTTAGTCAAATTTTTCTTTTGGAAGATATGACATCCATGTGCGTGGACTGTGGGAAGGGTGTCACCTCACGTTCAAAGGCCGTCCAATGCGCACTGTGCGACAGATGGATGCATATAGTCTGCTGTAACATTGATAATGATCTTTACCAATGTCTTCAGCGCACTACCTCTAAAGGCATCAACTTTCACTGCGATTCGTGTCTAACATTGGTCAGCGACAAGCAACTTCTGACGAACCCTTTCAACGTACATACTGCTTCCGCGCAAGCCGTCTCTAACTCGGACAGCGAGACACCTAACTCTGCAGTGTGTCTGACGTCGTCTGGGTATTCTACACCGAAAGGGAAACGAAGCCGCGCGTCGTCCACCACGCTGGACTTAACACCGTTGCCCAGTGAGAACGGGAATGGACTTATGCATAAGCCCAAGTCCTATGCCGCAGTCGCGAGCGCTAGCACCTCGGCAAAAACAAGGACAACCATAGCTGAGAACAAGGCCTCAAAGAAGATTTCCTCACGACCCAAGATAAAATCAAACACCAAAAACGTGGAACTAAAGCTCGTCTTAAATAGAGTAGCGCAGCTTGAGGAACTTGTCAGAGAAAAGAAATGTCCACCAAAGCCAGCATCACCGGAACGAGACAAGCGGCCTGTTCGCAACCGCTGCCTGATAATCACAAACGTCCCAGAATCCAACAAAGAGACTCCAGCTGAAAGGATGCTCGACGACCAAGCCTTCCTCAAACGAATGGTCTCCATGTTGTTTGATGAGCATGAGCAAGGAATAAACCTAATCTCTGCTTTTCGCCTTGGCAGAAAACAAGAGGACCCAGCCAAGTTTCGTCCTCTGAAAATCGTCTGTCAGGATGAAGAAGAATGCCAACGCATCCTGAGACGGACCCCGCGCCTCAAGGGAGAAACCTTCTACGTTCTGAAAGACCTCTCCCCGGAGGACCGAGTCCGAATGAGGCAAGCTGTCTGCGAGCTGCGAACTCGACGCGCAAATGGAGAAACAGATCTACACATAGTGGATTTTCGCGTAGTCAAGAAAACTCAGAGAGCTCGATGGAGGCCAATCCTCCTTCTTCCAGGACCTCAAACATAAAGAATGGACTACGGGTAATACTCGCGAATGTGCGCAGTCTCAGAAACAAGCTAGATGAGATTCCACTCCTTATCTCTGAACAGCAACCGGACCTAATGGCGTTCACCGAAACCTGGCTTTCATCTGACATATCTGACTCGGAGGTTCATGTTTCAGGATATCAGCTACTTCGATGCGATCGCTTTGGTGGGAGGTCTGGAGGCGGAGTAATCCTCTACACAAAGAACTACCTCAAGGCCCACATTGTCGAACCCGATTGTGACAAGGATGATATGTCGGAAATGCTCTGGTGCCGAATTCATGACGGATACCAGTCGCTGATGGTCGGGGTGGTCTACAGAGCCCCTGCAGCACCTGGCTCACACTTACTACGTTCCGTGCGAACCAACAGCAGAGGAACAAATTGTCTCCTTATGGGGGACTTCAACGCCCCCAACGTGATCTGGGACCTACTTCACAGTGATCTCTCACCTGACTCCTTTGAAGTTGCTCTCCTTGATACCGTTCATGAGTGCAACCTGACACAGCATGTCCTGACACCAACGCGAATGATCCCTGGTCAGACACCAAACATTCTCGACCTGGTTCTCACCTCGACACCATCTGATGTCTCAGATCTAACGATCCTCCAACCTCTTGGGACGAGTGATCACTGTACAGTCTCCTTTTCGTGGACACGACGCCTCACAATCCACGATCAGGGGACACTGCGTCGAAATTTCTGGCGTACTGACCGGCCCAGATTAAGAACGACTGCAAGTAACATGGACTGGAGTATCCCGCAATCCTTAGAGCTTGATGACGCATGGGAACGCCTACGATCTATGATGATGCGGCTCGTTGAACAGTTTGTTCCAAACTGCAAGAGCAGACCACCATCCAAAGGACCCCCATGGATTGATAAAGAAGTAAGATCCCTAATGAAAAAACGTCGAAAACTATGGGATCATTTCAAAAGCACAGGACAGACATCAAGCTACTTAGAGTACAAAACTGTCAGAAACCTATGCACCCTGAGAAAACGAGACAAAAGACTACAATATGAACATAGACTGGCCATGGACTCCCAAAACTGTCCCAAGAAACTTTTTGCCTACTTGAAGCGAAATGCCAAAACTGGTAGTGGAATCCCCGCTCTATCCTCTTTTAAGGAAGGTACCGTCCTCTACGGTGATGATGAAAAAGCAAATCTATTGGCTGCGCAATATTCCTCGGTCTACTCAGTGGAGTCACCATTGCTCAACAACTGTTTGCCTGCACACCACTCCTCTATGGACGAAGTTGAAATTAACCCCGAAGTAGTCACTAAGCTACTTCTCGAACTGGACCCGAACTCCTCCCCAGGCCCGGACGGATTGCATCCCAGCTTCCTCAGAACGATAGCTGAGTACGTCGCCGTCCCTCTCTGCCAAGTGTTTCGGCAATCCCTCGAAGTCGGCTGCCTACCCACAGGCTGGAAAGCAGGCACCGTCCTGCCCAAATACAAGGGGGGAAACAAACAAGACCCGGCCAACTACCGGCCAATATGTCTGACGTCAGTCGTATGCAAAACTATGGAACGGATAGTCAAGTGCGCTCTCCAGCTACACTGTGAGCATCTAAACCTCATCTCACCTGCTCAACATGGCTTCCGGAGAGCACGCTCATGCATCACTAACTTACTCATCGCCAGGGAAACATGGGCAGAAGCCATAGATACACGAAAACAGGTTGACGTAATATTCATTGACTTTAGCAAAGCCTTTGATAAGGTTCCACACGTACGACTGCTACATAAACTCCAGGGAATTGGCATTACAGGAAATCTTCTCTCCTGGATTGCCGATTTCTTAAGGGGTAGGACAATGCGCGTACAAGTGAACCAAACCCTCTCTGCTCCAGTGCCCATGACTAGTGGCATTCCCCAAGGATCAGTGCTTGGACCAGAGCTCTTCAAACTATACATTAACGATCTACCGACTGCGCTACAAACCGACTGCTTGATCTACGCCGATGACCTCAAGCTTTGGTCAACAGTATCCAGCATTGAGGATGCGGACAGATTACAAGGGGCTCTAGACCAGCTACACGAATGGTCCATCAAGTGGGAACTGCCAGTAAACCGAGATAAATGCGCTGTTCTCCCAATGGGTGGCACCGAACCTTACGGTGCATACCACATTGGTGGGTTTCTCCTTAGGAATACCACCCACGAGAGAGATCTCGGGGTTATCGTGACTTCTGACCTTAGAACGACGCAGGACACGTTAAAGAAGGTGGCCACTGGAAGGAGACTGGTAGGTGCCTTAAGAAGATCATTCGCTCGAATGACTCCCGAGATTTTTCGACCGTTGTTCACTTCGTACGTCCGTCCAGTCTTAGAATATGGCCTACCAGCTAGCCATCCGCTTTCAAAGTTTGAAAGCGCTGTGCTGGAAAAGGTTCAGAGACGTGCATCAAAAGCTGTTCTGGGGCTACGTGATCTCCCGTACCCCATTCGACTCCAGAAGCTAAATCTGTTCTCCCTCGAGCTCCGCCGTCGCCGGGGTGACCTCATCTACACTAGACGCATCCTCCGAGGGGAACTTGGAAGTGAGTTACAACAATTCTTCCGGCCCAACACTGACTGTTCCACCCGAGGGCACACATGGAAGCTGTTTAAGCAAAGAAGACACAAAATTCGCAAGGACGTCACCCTATCCACTAGAGTGGTGAATGACTGGAACAGCTTACCGGAAGCAATTGCAGACGCTCCATCCGAGGAAAGTTTCAAGCGGCTGCTAGACAAACATTCGCTGAAAATGCTGGAATCTTGCGGCTGTCACTGCAATTACGACGAACCCTCGAGGAACGTCGTAACGCAACGACACGCATCAAACCCAGTATGACACGGAATCGATGGGGCTGACAAGGGATTTCCCTCCTGCTCTCTACAACTCAATGAACTCAATAAACATTACTATGGGTTCAATGGCCTAAAATTTATCTCCTACCACCTACACCCGTGTGTACCGGAATCACACTGCCGAAAGAACATTATTTCCAAGTGACGGATAGGGCGCTCCTAACTTTTATCCTAGCGTACCATACAACCCTCACCACACGATGCCATTAACAGGTTGAAGGGTCGCGGTTCGCGTTAAAATCCCGGTCCGTTTTTGAGGTTTTGCTTTCAAAGGACAGTTTCGGAGCAGTGTTTACAGGTGTCGTGCAAAAAATTTGACATTTGTCAAATTTCACTTGATCCAAGTAATTTTGGATCATCGTTTTCCCAGGATTACTTCGTACCCGTTTTCGGCTACTTACCAAACGTCGTCCACCTTTTTCGGGTTCAGCCTCTGGCTATTTCCCCGGTATTTTTGTGTTTTGTAACCCGTTTTGCACCTTGTTTTAACCCGTAACAGTTTCTGTTGACTTCCTTGCAGGTAACAGCTTGTCGGTTTTACCTTTTGATACTTCAGATAGTGCTAAGCAATGTGCGGAGCCTAAGGAATAAGACGTGCTTGTAGATGGGTCTCATCCCGATATACTCGCATTCACTGAAACGTGGCTGTTTCGGGACATTACGGACGGTGAAGTACATCTGTCTGGCTACGCACTATTTAGATGTGATCGCTTCGTTGGCCGACAAAGCGAGGGCGTTGCGCTTTACGTTGGATGTGAACTTGATGTTTCAAGTACCTACATGTTTCAGTCGGCAGATAAAACTGTTGAAGCTCTGTCGGTGGTGATTAGCACTTCCTCAGCTCAACTGACAGTTGTACTTGTGTGTAGAAGCCATGGGAGTGCGTCCAAAGAAGTGCTTGACTTGATTCACTCCCAATCCGCAAACAGGTGTTTGATGCTGGGGGATTTCAATCGATCAGAAGTTTGCTGGGCAGATCTTGCAACTCGGCGGAAGGTACTTTCGGTGCAGATCTACTTGAGCTTACGCTACAAGTACCGTTGCAATCAATAAATAATAAAGACCGGACGGCACAGCGGATACAAATTTTCGGCTGCATTCTTTTCCGAACACGAGCAGACACTTCTTTGCATACGAAAACCTTTTGCGAACTTCGATCCACAACCACTTGATTTCGAAGGCTTCTTCTTTCAGCCTTCTAGGAGGGGAGCTCTGTAGCAACCCAAAAGATATTTCTTGTCCTATGTACACTTTTATTACTCAGTCATACAATATTGGTTTTTGTTTTAATGCCGACTCTACGGCCATTCTGAACTACATCCGGCTCACCACTTGTCACTACGGTGAATTCCGGCACTGACGTACGCTCTCGTCGCTTCATCCGTTTTTCGTTCGATTGTAGCCTTCCACGAATGCAATCCGTTGTGTCCGTTCTTCTGGTTTTCTGGCATCCCTACCAGAGTGAGGCCACTCCCGAACTAGTATAGACTAGTCCTACATCAGTTCGTGGACCTCCCCACTAGGTACATGGATGTCTAACTCCCGTCTATTTTGGAGCTAGTGTTTGCCAAGTCGCTAGACTTCGTAGGTGATATCACTTACAGCTCTTCCTTAGGTGCTAGTGATCATGTTTGTTTATCGTTCAGGTGTACTCTGACCAGGCGTCACCAGAGCATTGCTAAGCCATTTCCAAACATATGGCTAGTCAACTATCAGGCAATGCGTATCAAGGCTTCTGGGTTGCGTTGCGAAATCTCAGTGGTTGATACGGTTCAGGTGGCCTGGGATAAACTTAAAACTTATCTCACGGAAGTGTCTACTCCCTGCATCCCGCTTGCGAGGAGAAAGGAGACACGAACGCGGTCGCCGTGGATAGATACCACAGGCAAGTACCTGCTCCAGAAGCGTTCTAGGTGCTGGAGGGCCTACCGTGCGGCTCCATCAATTAGCACCTATGATAGATACCGCGAGGCTAGAAATAGGTGTAAACAACACTTAAGGAAAGCTCGGTTGTTGTACGAAGAGGAATTGGCTGGTGAGGCTTCGGAAAATCAGAAGAAGTTCTTCGCTTATGTTATGAGACGCTGTGGTTCAAATTCGGTAATCCCAACTTTGATGCGGGCCGATGGAACTCGTGCGTATGCGGACTCAGATAAGGCTCGTGTACTTGGGGAGCAGTATGCAGGGGCTTTTGTACGTGAGGCCGCGTTGACTAGCGTTGAACTTGCCCCCAGAGTACCTGAGGGTTCTTACTTAGCTGAGTTTACTGTGGTGGAAACGCAAGTCCTTAAACTGCTGCAAGAACTGAACCCTTCAAAAGCAGCTGGACCTGATTCAGTTCACCCGAAGCTTCTGCATGAGTTGGCGGTGGAACTAAGTGGATCGCTGACGATGGTGTTTCAGAAGTCACTTGACATCTGTACATTACCTTCTGAATGGAAGGAGGCTGTCATCTGTACTATCTTCAAAAGTGACGACAGGAGTCTGTCAGCCAATTATAGGCCAGTAAGTCTGACTAGCGTCGTGGTCAAACTGCTTGAAAATCTGGTGAGAGATTCGTTGCAAGGTCACCTGAATAGATTTGATTTACTCAGTACTGCACAACATGGATTCCGGAAGGGGTTTTCGTGTCTGACGAATTTGTTGGTTGCTCGTGAAGCTTAGGCCGTGGCAATGAACAATGGCCACTTAGTGGATGTGCCTTTCGTAGACTTCTCGAAAGCATTTGACAAAGTACCCCACTTGAGGTTATCACAAAAGCTGAGCTCCTACGGCGTATCTGGCCGCACCCTTCACTGGGTGTCTGCGTTCTTGCAGGGAAGAGAGCAGTATGTACGTGTGGGTCGCAGCTTATCCTTTAGGCAAGCGGTACTTAGCGGTGTCCCACATGGCTCGGTCCTTGGACCGATACTGTTCTCCATCTATGTAAACGATCTCCCTGGAGAGCTTGGGGTGTCATCCCTATTGTTTGCTGATGACCTTAAGCTATGGAATGTTGTAAATGTTCCTGGGGGTTCTGAGACCATACAGCATGCCCTGGACAGACTCTGAGACTGGTCTACTTTGTGACTACTGCCCATTAATCAGGCTAAGTGTTCCGTCCTTCGTATAGGAGCAACTTTTCCGCCTTCGGGCTACGTACTCGGTGGGATCGAACTCCCCCTTGTCTCCAACCAGGTAGACCTATGCGTCGTTGATTCCTCATCTTTGCATTCTGGTGACAACTGGAAGAAGGCCGCTAGTAGGAGTTTCAGAATGTTGTGGTTAATACGCCGTTCTTTCGGGGTCTTAACTGCCGATATATTTGTAAAGCTGTTCTCAGCTTTCGTTCTGCCCCATCTGGAATACTGCGTCCAGGCTTGCGCGCCCTGCCTTGTTCGGGACAAAATGGAGCTCGAGAGAGTTTTAAGAAAAGGTACCAAATTGGTCGATGGGTTACGGGGGCAGTCGTACCCCGAGCGTCTACTTAGCTTGGGTATGTATTCAATGCACTACCGACGGCTTCGAGGAGCCCTAATCCTTACTTACCGCATTTTAACAGGGAAGGTTGGACCGGACTTGATCTGGCTATTTAGCTCGGCTAGGTTGCCTTGTCTTCGCGGTCATCCCATGAAGCTACACAAGCCGCGTTCTGACCGGATCAGGGCGGAAACTCGGTTATCGCGTAGAGTTATCGAGCGCTGGAACTCGCTTCCAGAAAGTGTAGTCAGTGAACCTACGGTTAAGGGTTTCGAGAGTCAGTTAGACGCCCTTAGGTGGCAACATGAAACCTTTCCCTTCTCCTGACCATATCCATCTTCAAACTTTTAGTTCTTATTCTGTCATTCTCTTCACTCTTTGGTATTATCCTTCATTTAAACGACTTTCACTCCTCTTTATCTTCCATTTACTTTCTACTTCTTTCTTACTTCACGTAACCTACACAGCGGGGACTGCTAGTGCAAGGAAGGTGGGCAGTAATTGGTTGACCAGGGTGTGTTTCGGCTGTTTCGTTTTAGATCTATCAAGACCTAGCACCTTATCATTTCCTGGCTCAACGGTTTGCTCAAGAAGGAACACTGAAGGGATTTTCCTATCGTTCCAGTCCATCTGAATGTGAATCTGAATACTTGTTTCACACTCTTTGGAAGCGTCATGTCGGATTCACTGAATGCTGGCGCTAATGTGTCTTCGGCTGCGTTGACCAGCGAATCTACTGCTGTATGCTGCAACGTGAGCTGCTCAAAGCGCATGACGGACGAGTCTGGTGGCATTCAGTGCTATGTATGCAACTGCTGGTACGATGAGACCTGTACCAAATTGAGCCCTGATCAGTACGCATTGCTTTCGACTAGCAATAGCTTGCTGTTCAATTGTCTTCTATGCCGTAACCGTTGATCTACTTGACTTGAGGTCACTGAAGAGACATCGAGCAACATCGGGCTGGGTAACCAGCAGTTGTGGTCTTTCCTCGCATCTCTTGATCGCAAAGTGGAGTTACTGATGAGGAAAATGAGAGTCTCTATTGATGTTAGCTCATTGGAAAAAGGCACGCAATTAACCTCAATTGCGGTCGATGAGAATCCCACTGAGGTGATGGTTACCGTGTCGTGTGCCCCAGCGATTCAGAATGCCCCTAAAGAGGTCTCTGATGTCGTACTGGAAGCCGTCCAAAGCGAGACCGAACTTATAGTTCCTGTGCCCAATAAAAGCAAAAGGAAGAGGGCTAAGAAAGTCCGTAAAGCTCCTTCAAAGCCTGAAGGTACTGAAACTATAAAGGTATTGGAGGTAAAACACAAAGCTCCAACTCTAATCACCCCAGTTCCATTCGCGAAGAAATGCACCGTGTTGACTTCGGGCACACCCGCAAAGTCTGAAAAGACTAGACCGGTGCGAGAGTTGGAGGAAGAACACAAAGCCTCAACCTCAATTACTCCAGCTCCCTTGGCGAAGAAACGCGCCGTGTCACCTGCCAAACCGGTTGCAACTGGGGTCGAGTGGAGGACCCGTGGAGTGAATACGCCTCGTCGAGGTGATTCTTTTACTGTTAGTAGCGTTATCTTTCGTAACGTTTCTGAATCCGCGGCAGCTCTTCCCAAGGAATGCATGCTTAATGAGCTCCAGTAGTTCAAGCTCTGCGTCAACAAGATGCTTCCACCTGGTTTCCCAGGTGTCACTGTCAGGAAGCTAACCAGATTGGGGAACGTACCTGTAGATACGCCAAATCCTCGACCCCGACTACTTTGTGTAGTCCTCACAACCCCGAAGGAACGCGAAGCGTTAATGCGCTTTGCATTTAAACTCAAGGGTAGTAATGTCAGCGTTCAGCCGGACCTTCCACTGGCAGGTCGACTGAAGTTAAAGGACGCCATCAAAAGCCTCAAGAGCAGGCGGGCGGCTGGTGAGCAAGGCCTTCGTCTTGTGAGTTTTCAGGTAGTCAGCCGGAATTCAAATTCTGCCCTACCAGAACCCCTCTTGGTAGCGTACGACCCAGGGCTGGTCGTGCCGAGTTTCTTCGGGCAGTGCTTAGTAATGTGCGTAGCCTAAGGAACAAGGTATATGAGGTGGGTCTACTTGTAGACAAATCTCGTCCCGACATACTTGTTATCACCGAAACGTGGCTGTGGCCGGATCTCACAGACGATGAAGTATGTTTACCTGGCTACGCACTGCTTAGATGTGATCGCTTCATTGGTCCCCAAGGTGGGGGCGCCGCTCTTTATGTGAGTTGTAAACTTGATGTGTGGACGACCTGTGTTTTTCAGCCACTGGATCAAACTTGAAGTCCTGTCGACCATTGTATGCACTTCCTCTGCTCAGATTACAGTTGTGGTAGTATATCGAAGTCTTGGAAGTATCTTCAGGGAGGTTATTAAATTTATTCTTACTCAGGCTGCCAATAGGTGTCTACTACTGGGTGACCTCAACCTCCCTGAAGTCTGCTGGGCTGATCTATCTTGCAGTTCAGCAGTGGGCACGTTCGCTTCGGCTCTTCTCCAGCTAACATCGCAACTGTCTTTGCATAAGTTCGTGGACCTCCCGACTAGATATATGAGCAACCAAATTTTGTCTACCTTGGATCTCATTTTTGCGAAGTCACACGATTTTATAAGTGATATTACCTACGGCTGTCCTCTAGGAGCCAGTGACCATGTCTGCATATCCTTTCGATGTGCTCTAAGTGCCATCGAGTTACCGTTGAGGCATGTCCAAATATTTGGCGGACAGACTTTAACGCAATACGAGACAAAGCTTCAGTTCTGCGTTGCGCGATCACCGTGGCTGACACCGTTGAGACAGCCTGGAAAAGTTTAAGGCATACATCACCGAGATCTCTGCTCCTCACATCCCACTCATTAAGAGACGGGTGACACGGGCGCTGCCTCCTTGGATAGATCATGCAGATAAATACCTGCTCAAGAAGCGCTCTAAGTGCTGGCGAACTTACCAAGCGGCTTCATCAACCGGCACATACGAAAGCTATCGAGCGGTTAGAAACAAATGTACGCAACATCTTAGAACACTTCGTCTTCAGTAGGAGGATTTGGCTCACGCAGCCGTAACAAATCCAAAAAAGTTCTCTGCTTACCTAAAGAGACGCAGCGGTACAAATTCGTCTATACCGGCTTTCCTACGAGCGGACGGGACCCATGGGCATACCGACTATGATAAGGCTTGTATACTTACCGAACAGTATACTGGTGTCTTTTCTCGTGAGGCTTCTCTACCTCAGCTTGAGGTGGTCACAAAAGTCCCGGAGGATTCTTGCCTAACTGAAATCAGCATAACGGAGACACAAGTCTTCGGGCTATTGCAAGTGATAAATCCTTCCAAAGCTTCTGGCCCTGATTCAATTCATCCGAAGCTGTTGCATGAACTGACCGCTGAGCTAGGTGACCCTCTGACATGCATGTTTACAATATCGCTCCACAACTGTGCCTTACCTTCGGTATGGAAGAAGGCATTCATCTGTCCAATTTTTAAGGGCGGTGACAGAGCTCTGCCCGCGAACTACCGGCCTGTCAGCTTGACAAGCGTAGTAGTTAAGTTGTTTGAAAAATTGATCAGGGATTCGGTGGAGAATCACCTGATTAAGTTTAACCTACTCATTGCAACACAGCACGGATTCCGTAAGGGATTTTCATGTCTGACAAATTTACTAGTAGCCCGTGAAAGTTGGGCTGAGGCAGTAGACAATGGTCACGCTATCGACGTGCTTTCCGTTGACTTCTCGAAAGCCTTTGATACTGTCCCACATCGCTGTATACTCAACCCGCGCGCGACTGGTGGTGGTCGCGCGGCAGCGAAGCGCCGTTACGGCGTACAACAGACGCGTATGGGATATCTGGAGCCGCCCTTAAATGGGTCTGCTTTCCTAGAGGGGAGAGAACAATGTGTACGCGTGGGGAGTAACCTTTCGCTTAGACAAGCTGTTCTTAGTGTTGTTCCTCAAGGCTCGGTTCTAGGGCCGTTGCTTTTCGCAATTTATGTCAATGACCTATCCCAGGAGCTTGAAGTACCGTCGCTATTGTTTGCTGATGACCTCAAGCTCCGGAATATTGTGGATATCCCTGGTGGCTCTGAGGCACTCCAGAGTGCCTTGGATAGGCTCTGGGACTGGTCAGCCTTATAGTTGATGCCTATAAATCAGGCGAAATGTTCTGTCCCCCGTATTGGAG